AAAACTCTTTCTTAGGACCCATGTTTTTTTTTAATCTAAAAACAGTACAAAAAGCCACACAAACTAAGAAAATTATAGCAAAAAGCTTGGAACACAGCTGCAAATGGTTTAAACGCGTACTAACAACGCCAATTAATGCCCGGTGACCAAAACACAGACTGCTTTTTTACAGAAATCACGTGTGTGTCGGCTCAGATTCCAATGCTTTCTTCAAGCTCCGATGCAAAATGTTCTCGGCATTTCAAGTCGAAATCCAATTATGTTGAGTACTGATGCGATTGAGCACCGGGGTTCTACTGTATAATTATACGTGTATATAATTATATATGTTAGTATATGTATATATAATACCGCAACAGCAATATGTATATAGATCAACTCAGAGCAACCCGATAGAACAAAGCAGACCTTCTCAATAGGGTTTCAGAGATTAGAGATCTTGACAAAAGCAGCCAGCCTCATCATTCTCCGATTGGAGTGACTACTGAGTTTGACCAGCCAATGTTGCATTCAGCAGCCCAAAGCTTAACTTACTGCATCACCAGGGATACATTTATGCTGCCTCAGCGCGACCTCCCTGTTGGTTTCTGAGACTGACTGTTTACGGGAGTAGAAAGCTCAGTCTACTCCGAGGAGTTGCTGGTAGTGTCTAACTGCCGACCATACAGATCGCAGTCCAACGCATTCAGATGTGTGTGGGTAGTGCTTGTGCATATCTGTACTTTCAAGATTCTTCACCAGCACCACGTATGTTTAAGTACCTTCCTAAAAAATGCTACAAGTTTATAGAAGACAATATCTCTATAGATATTAAAAGATCACTAATTATTGTTAGTTTACCAAGTAGAGTTCCCTCAAAATGATTATAATAAAGAACTATAAATGTAAATCATTCCTACACTTAACTGAATAGCGTGGTTAGGACTGAAGGGCTCAGAGCATTTCCTCTGTGCTGATATCCAGCCCTTGTTCAATGAATTAAAAAGTTGAAACTATGGCCAGCAACATTGTCACTGCCTGCAATAACAAAAGCTTGTCACCACACCATTATGTCTGCCATATACAGTCACCGAAGATTGTCATATTCATATATGAAGTAGCTCTGCTACTTAACATATGAGCTAATTGATCTCTGGTCTCATGCCTGTCCTTTCCATGGCCTGCCTGAGTTGGTAATGTTTTTTCTGCTTAAAAGGAAGCATTTAAAATGTGCAGTTGATCCCCCATTATTCATGGATTCCACATTTGTGAATTTGGCGACTGGCTAAGATGTGCTTGGAACCCCGTGCACTTTCGTGGTCACCCAAAAACATGTACACTCACAATGGAGGTCAGACAAGGTGACATTTCTGACTTCTCAGACTGCAAAGAAGTATGTTTTTTTCTGGTCTTTCTAGTGCCATACTTCTCTTGTTGACAATTCTGCTATCCAAAATGGTCCCCGAGTGTAGTGTGGAAAGACTACCCAGTGTTCCTAAGCATGAGAAAGTGGTGATGTGCCTTCGTTCAAACTTGAGTTATAGTGCTCTTGATTTGTGAGTTCAGCATTGATGAATCAAGAATATATATTAAATGAGGTGCATTTCAACAGAAGCACACTAAGCAATGCATTGCTCACTTGATGACATGGTGACCAGAGGGTGCAGGATCATAGCCCTGAATTTCCCCTAAGGGCAATGGCTCGAAATTCACTAATTCAGTGTTTACAGTGATGTTAAAGATCATAACCACTGCAAATAACAAGAATCAACTGTAATGTTATAACAATTTCAAAATATAGCCCTAAGAAGCAGCCTGAGTTCCCTAGGCAGCACAATTAAGTGCTCCACTTGTAATTGAAACACTAAAAGTTCGAATTCACCCAGTGGCACCTGGGATGAAAACCCTCCATACCTACTTCTGAAAGGTGATAGCTCCTGAGAAACCCCACAGAGCACAGACCCACTCCAAAACACAAGGGGTCACCCGCAGTCAATGTCAACTTGATGGCAACTGGTTTAGGTGGTGGTGGTGGTGGTGGTTTGAGAGAAGCCATTTGAGACTTTGCTCTAAAATTCTTCATTCCTGATCAACTGATTGCCATTCTGCATACTGAGAGCCAAAGCTTACTTTAAATGTCTACTTAGATCACCTACCTTAATTTTGAGTCTTATATTTTCCCAAGTAGGTACCCAGACTAAAGACACCCGTTTCCTGAGGAACTTACAGTTTTTCTCTCTGTCTCCCTAAATGGACTCTAACCGAGGGACTTACTGCAGTTTGCTGTTGTGCTGTGGAGAATAGACTCCCAAGGACACATGTCAATTCAGTGATTTCCACAAGCACAATCCGGAGGCCCGGATGCCATCCTTTGAGTTGTGTAACCATCTCCACCTTCCTTTTCTGAATCGTTTTTCCTCCGTTACCTTGAACTCACTGCCCCCTATGCTTCTTACCTAACTTTCAAGTTGCTGTTGCCGGTTTGCAGCTTGAACTTTGTAAAAGCTAAGACTGAATCACTGAAGGCCTTATTCATGGGGTATGCCTTCCTTCCGCCTGCCTTCCACATTGCTGATATCCACACACCTGTCCCTGCCTACTCAGAGGGTCCCTGGCTGTTTGCTTCTTCTACCTACCTTAATGGATGCCTTGAAAAATTTGAACCTAAATAAGTCAAATTGTGTGTAACATAGTAAGCCACAGTGCATGTCCCTGTTGGCCCCAGTCAGGCAGGAGACTTCAGAATGACTATCTAAAATAACATACTTCCACCAGAACAGTGCTTCTAGGTATTAAAACAGATAACTTAGAACAGGAGCCATGTAATGACAGCCCATGTGTCAAATCTGCCTCCCTTTGCCTGTCTTGGCAAACAGAATTTTACTGGAACACCGCCGGACTCATGGGCTGTATCTCAAGGGTGGTTGGTGAGATGACAGCACAGCTGAGTCTTTGCCCCGGAGCTCACAGGGTCAGCATGACCAGAGCCAGTTAAGATGTGACCTTGTACAGAGAGTTTACTACCCTGGCTTTGATTTTTACATATTTTTAAAAGGCACTTTCAGTCCTATTTTTTTTCTTAATATAATCTGTGTGTGTGTGTGTGTGTGTGTCCCAGTGCCATCCCTTCATTTTCAAGAATAGACTCAAAGGGACTATATTTGCATGAGGCAGAAGTATAAATAGAAAGGAAACATCTCTTACTAATCGAGCTTTTTGATTCCACAGGGAGATGTTCTGTCTGGGTAAGCACTCTTTGGGAAGAGGTGCTCCTTTCTCTGTGTCTTGGAGCACCACTCAACCACAGTGTTCATGCACTCACTATGTGTGTAAACCGGTTGGCATGCTGTGTGTCAGTGCAGAACTGCACTCCATAGGTTCATCAGTGACTGCTTTTCAAAAGCCAATATCCAGGCCTTTCTTCCGAGACCCCTCAGGGTGGATTCGAACCACCCATCTCTCCGTTAGCAGTGAGAGTGTGGCACTGCCCATGAAAGTCATTGCTTACAAACGAGGATGCTTCCAAAAGTTCCTGGGAAAATTCCATTTATCTTCTCATTCCATTTTCCCACCAATGTTTTTTGTTTTTTTAATCACAATGTACATTCATTTTTTAATATTAAAAGAAGAGATCTATGGGTGCTTCTTCCTGTTCATTTCATTGGTTATGTAGCTGTAATCATCTGTAAAGTGAGGCCGTCACCTGTTTTGTGTAACAAGGCCCAGTTTGTACCTGTTCTCTAGGGATACTTATAAATTATGCTACCTTTCCCTCTCCAAGTGTTCTGGT